CCTGCCTCAGTCTCCCAGGTAGCTGGGACCACTAGCGCCCGCCACAACACCCGGCTATTTTTTGGTTGCAGCTGTCATTGTTGTTTGGCGGGCCCCAGCTGGATTCGAACCCGCCACCTTGGGTGTACATGGCTGGCGCCTTAGCCACTTGAGCCACAGGCACCGAGCCCTAATGAGTACCTATTGCATGCCAGGGATGGCTCTAAGTTCTTTATATGTATTACTTGTTTAATCCTCTCAAAGCCTTTTGAGACAGAGCCTTTATTACCTCATTTGAGAAGTGATAAAGCTGTAGGGGACAGTGATTGGCACCTGTAACCCCAGGTAGTCAGGAGGGAGAGGCAGGAGGATTGCTTGAGGCCTAGAGTTCAAGACCAGTCTAGACAACATAGAAAGACCTCCTCTCTCTTAAATAAACAAATAAATAGTAATAATAAAAATAATTAGCCAGGTGGAGTGGCACTTACCTGTAGTCCCATCTACTGAGGTGGGAGGATCACTTGATCCCAGGAGTTTGAAGCCACAGTGAACTATGATCACTCCATCACACTCCAACCTGAGTGATAGAGTGAAACCTCATTGCTAATTAAAAAAATTAAAAACTAGACCAGATACGGTGGCTCATGCCTATAATCCTAGCACTCTGGGAGGCCAAGGTGGATGGATTGCTTGAGCTCAGGAGTTTAAGACCAGCCTGAGCAAGAGTTAAACCCCATCCCTTAAAAATAACTGGGCGTTGGGGGGCGGTGCCTGTGGCTCAAAGGAGTGGGGCACCAGCCACATATGCTGGAGGTGGCGGGTTCTAACCCAGCCCCGGCCAAAAACTTCAAAGAAAAAAAATAATAATAATAACTGGGAGTTGGGCAGCGCCTGTGGCTCAGTGGGTAGGGTGCCAGCCCCATATATTGAGAGTGGCAAGTTCAAACCTAGCCCCACCCAAATGGCAACAACAAAAAAAATAGTGGGGCATTCTGGTGGGCGCCTCTAGTCCCAGCTACTCGGGAGGCTGAGGCAAAAGAATCGCCTAAGCCCAGGCATTGGAGTTTACTGTGAGCTGTGATACCACAGTGCTCTACTGAGGGCGATAAACTGAGACTCTTTCTCTTAAAAAAAAAAACAAAAAAAAAAACCCTGGGCATTGTGGGGAGTGCCTGTAGTCCCAGCTACTCAGGAGGCTGAGGCAAAAGGATTACTTGAGCCCAAGAGTGAGAGATTGCTATGAGCCATGATGCCACAGTATTCTACCCAGGGTGACAAAATGGAACTCTGTCTCAAAGGAAAAAAAAAAAACTGATGAAACTGAGACCAAAGAAGTTAGATAACTTGCCAGTGGTCATACAGGTAAGTCAAATTCAGAAATGAAATTCAAACCAAGAAAAACTGATTGTATATTCAGTGCTCTTAATAATTATTAAACTGTTTCTCCATATTTCTTGGTAATATTTTCTGACATTGAGTAAAGTTCCTGGCCAAAATTTGCCATGTACTTTATAGTTAAATGGCATAAGCTCTGCTTTAAAGCACTGTATGCCAATCATACAGAGATTAGTATAGCTGGTGTAAAGTTGTCTACACACAGACTAGAGAATATTGTCTAGAACTTGTCTTTTTTTTTTTTTGAGACAGTCTTACTATGTAGCTCTTGGTAGAGTGCTGTGGCATGTCACAGCTCACAGCAGTCTCTTACTCTTGGACTCAAAAAAACTAAAAAGGCTCAGCGCCTGTAGCTCAAACGGCTAAGGCGTCAGCCACATACACCAGGGCTGGCGGGTTCAAATCCAGCCCGGGCCTGCCAAACAACAGTGACAACTATAATTAAAAAATAGGCATTGTGGCAGGCGCCTATAGTCCCAGCTACTTGGGAAGCTGAGGTAAGAGAATCGCTTAAGCCCAGGAGTTGGAGGTTGCTGTGAGGTGTGACATCACGTCACTCTCTACCCAGGGTGACAGCTTGAGGCTCTGTCTCAAAAAAAAAAAACAAAAAACCATACATACAAATAAATAAATAAATATTACAGGCCAAATGCCTGTAATTCTAGCACTCTGGGAGGCCAAGCAGGAGGATCCCTTGAGCTCAGGAGTTCAAGATCAGCATGACCAAGAAGAGTGAGACCCTGTTTCTACTAAAAATAGAAAAATTTCCTGTATGTGAGGGCAAACGTGTGTAGTTCCAGCTATTCAGGAGACTGAGGCAGGAGGATCACTTGAACGCAGGAGTTTGAGGTTGCTGTGAGCTAGGCTGATAACACAGAACTCTAGCCCAGGGAAACAGAGTGAAACTTTGTCTCAAAAATACACATGTATATGTATCATGTAAGATTGTTAATATTCACTTTGTGATGTTTGCACAGTGGTGAAATTGCCTAACAATGTATTTCTCAGAACATAATCCACCCTCCCCCATTGTTAAGCAGGGGATGACTTCATTTTAAATGATTTATGTTCCACTGATTGTATTCATGATAGTTTCCTTTAAAATTCCTCTTGTATTATAATTTGTTCTAGTGTTCTAGGTTACTTTCAAATATGATATAATGACCATGTTTGTGCATTATTCTTTTTTCTGTAGTTCTAGTTATTTAGTCTGATTTTCTTTTTCTTTTTTTTTTTTTTTTTTAGAGACAGAGTCTCACTTTATTGCCCTCAGTAGAATGCTCTGGTGTCACAGCTCACAGCAACTTCCAGCTCTTGGGCTTCAGTGATTCTCTTGCCTCAGCCTACTGAATAGCTGGGACTATAGGTGCCCGCCAAAACGCCCAGCTATTTTTTTGTTGCAGTTTGGCCAGGGCCGGGTTTGAACCTACCACCCTCAGTATATGGGGCTAGCGCCCTACTCACTGAGCCACAGGCACCGCCTTAGTCTGATATTCTTTAAAACATCGGTTCTCAGCCAGTGGGTCGCAACTCCTTTATAACAATGAAAATACGTGTGGCATTAGGAAGGGTGAGAACCACTGCTTTAGAAGGAAAGTCAGAGTCATTATCAAGAAACCATTGTACTGGCTA